AATGAATATTGAGCCGTGTCATAAAACATCTACAAGATAATACTTTGAGCTCCTTATATTTACACTATTTTGTATTCTGGTACAATCAAAAGCCTAAGCCACATCACCAACTGTAGAAAAGGATAAAAGGACTCTAACCTGGGCATCCCTCAGTCTAGAAAAGCAAAGAGTGATGGCTGGGAGATAAGAAATACATTCTCAAAACTATTTTCAATTTTTACAGTTGTTTAGAATAACCGAGTAAATTGGGTTAGAAGGGATCTTGGGAGTTCTGTAGTCCTGTTCAGTGTAGTCTGGCCTCATGGCTGATGCTAGGTGGCTTTATCCAGTCAGCCCTTGAAATCCAGGTGCCACACAAGCACCCTAGGACCCCTGTTCCACTGCTGAACTGCCCTCATGGGGAGGGACAGGGACACACAACAAAAAAAACAAACAAACATTCCCCCCATACCCATCAGAATCTCTCTTATTTCAACATGTGTGTTACCTCTTGTCCTCCTGCCATGCACTACTGTGAAGAGACTAATTCCATCTCGTTAATCTTCTCATAGGAGCTGGACAGCTGCTGTTAGGCCTCCCTGAAGCCTTTTATTCTCCTGGCTGAATAAGCTTGGTTCTCTCCGCCTCCTCTCACAGGGCAAGTGCTCCAGTCCCCACTGTCTCAGTGGCCCTCCACCAAACTCATGTAGTTTGAGGTCAGTCTTGCACTGGGGGAACCAAAACACAATATTCTAGATACCATCTAACAAGTTCTGTGTAGAAGGAAATAGTCACTTCCCCTCAATCTTCTGGCTAAACTTCTTTCTAATGTGCAACAGCTACTCAGCTGAATGGGCTGCAGGGACTCAGTTCTTAACACCTGGTTTGGTTTTTTTAGAAGTAAAAATTACTTTTGTCAGGTAACATGATGGATATATCAATACCTTTGAAAGTACTGAGCTAATTAAAAAAAAGACACTAATGAAAAGATGTTCAATGATTACTAGAGTTCTTCCAAGTGTCTAACGGACAGAATAATTCAGAGAAAAAAATCGTAGCCAAAACATAAGATTCTTTCAAAGGGTTAAAAAACCCAAAACAAAACCCAACCAATAACCACTCTATTGGAATAGTAATGCATTGCATGAAAATCACATATGATCATGATGGGTGGTATTATGGTTGACTGTGTAAAGCTAAGAATTAAATAGGTTACAATTTCTCATCTTGCTGACAAGGAGCAGCTTACATAGAGTGGTTGCCCTGAAATCATTGATTAGACAAAGTTTTTCTGCCTTAAATGATACTTTAACTTCTATCCATGATGGATTTGTTAAGCATTGCTTGCTTTAGTGGCCTGTGAATTGGCTTGCTGCACACCTTTAAACAAACATGTGAAACTGACTCATGCAGGCCCATGGGACCAGACACACTGCTTTCAAGAGAACCAAGATATAACTGAAGTTCTCGTGGGGATGTTCTTTACCATCACAGGTTGTGGAGAACACTGGTAATCCATAACCATTAGAGAGTGGCAAATGTTACACCTATCTTCAGAACAGGCTAAAAGTTCAACTCGGGGAACTACAAGCTGGTTAGCCTCACTTGGCGTCCTGGAAAGTTATGGAGTAAGTCTTCCTGGAAGACCTTTCTGGACACATGGGAAGGTGGTGAGTGGGAACAGTCAGCGTATTTTTACCAAGGACAAATCATGGCCTGACCAACCTCACCACCTCCTGTGTTAAAAATGGCAGGACTTGAGGACAAGGGGAGAGGAGTAGATGTCACCTCAACTTCATCAAGGCTGAAGGAAGTGGCTGACAGAAACCTCATGAAAGTCAGTGACAAAGGCAAAGTCCTGCATCTGAAGGAGGCACCCCAGGCTAAGACTAGCTGGGGGTCTGACAGACAGAAAGCAGAACACGAGCCAGAAGTGTGTCTGGTGAGCAAAGACAAGTGGTATCCTGGGCTGTATTAACAGGAATAGAACCAGAAGATTGGGGGGAAGTGATTATTTCCTTCTATACAGAACTTGTTAGATGTTCTGTGAAAGGCATCAAACTAGGCACCAAATGAGTTTGGTGGCAGGGCCACCCAGTCAGTTGGGGACAGGAGCACTTGCCCTATGAGAGGAGGCTGAGGGAACCAGGCTCGTTCAGCCCAGAGAATAAAAGGCTTCAGGGAGGCCTAACAGCAGCTGTCCAGCTCCTATGAGAAGATTAACGAGACTGAATTAGTCTCTTTGATGGTTGGACTTGATGATCTTAAAGGTCTTTTCCAACCTTAATGATTCTGTGATTCTTCACAGTAGTGCATGGCAGGAGGACAAGAGGTAACACATGCTGAAATAAGAGAGATTCTGATGGGTATGGGGGGGAATGTTTTTTGGGGGTTTGTTTTTTTTTTGTCATGTGTCCCTGTCCCTCCCCATGAGGGCAGTTCAGCAGTGGAACAGGGGTCCTAGGGTGCTTGTGTGGCCTCCATCACTGGAGGCTTTCAAGGGCTGACTGGATAAAGCCACCTAGCATCAGCCATGAGGCCAGACTACACTGAACAGGACTACAGAACTCCCAAGATCCCTTCTAACCGAAATCATATTTTTGATCCTGTGAAGTATGACTGTCCTTAATATGATTGATTCATACTATTAAAAAGAGGTAGCCACCAGGATAAGTGCATTCTCATGTCCATAATACTACAATCATTTGCAATTTTGATTTTACTTGCTCATATCCTCCCTCAAGAAATTACTGGAAGTGTTTTAACTGTATTTCATATGCAAAGTGAAAGTATTAGTCTTTAAAAGATCTTACAGAATAATATATTT